TGCACAGATTTTAGTGCACACGGTGGCACACAGCAATAAAACAGTCTGAGCTCAGAACAGAGGTGTGTTGTTTCCACACACACACAAACACACACAACAGTGGTTATATAATTTTAGTAACCTTTAGCTGCTCCAGGAAGTATAACATAACTCCTCATCTAATAAGGAACTACTGCTGAAGGAGACACGGTCGTAAAATTGAGAGTGATCGTAAACTGTGTTCATAAAAATCCTAAAAGAAGTGGGGGGGATTGAGGGCATCAGAAAAAAAAGGGGGCCCGAGTATCACCCCTGACGCTGCAGTCAATCCATCAGCAGCGTTTTTCCGAACATTCGTCTGTTAACGGTGCTCCCTGAGCCTGTTTCAGGCATATCAGCTGTTGAGGAGGCTCTTCAGTCTCCACTTCACTGACCTCGCTTCATTAAAACCATAAATCAGGACGGTGGAGGAGAGGTGGCGACCAGAGACTGTGTCCAGTCATCCACACTGACACCCCCTCCGCAAGAGCCCATCATCTAAGTAGATACAACCTGAATGGTGTGACTTTTGTGACTGCAGTCGTTTTTGCTATCACCTTCCATTTCACTGCCATGAAAGGCAAGTGATTGTGTAGTTGCATGTGTTTAACTGTCTGTTAGCAAAATATCTCAAGAAGTAATAATTGGATTTTAATGAAACTCTTAAAAAGGGATCAGTGGACGTACATTTACAACTCTTCATCTTTTGGAGTCGACTGGGTTCAAGATGGCAGCGGCTGCTAATCGACACAAGCAAACACAAAAGTAGTTCTACCTCAGTCGGTTTTACAGATATTGAGCCAGACTTTTGTGTGGTAGTAGCTGAGAGTCATTCACAAGAAATACTCTGAGTACTAACATGTCACTGAAAACCTTTGCTCATAACTTTGGCATTAAATGTTGGTGTAAATCCTGTCCGTCTGTTAGCAAAATATCTCACAAACAGCTAATTGAATTTAAATGAAACTCTCCAGATGTAATCACTAGGTATTCAGCAACAACTGATCAAGACTTGGAGTCAACATTGTTAAGATTGCAGTGAAAGACAAGATCAATTTTTTCAAAACAAAAGAGTAGCTATAACAGTCAATTTTACTCCTACTGAGCTAAATTTCGGCAGGGTGATAGCTAAGAGTTGTTTTAGACAGATATTCTGAGCACTAGCATTATTAGCAAGATTTTGTTTAAAACTTTGATATGCAAAAAAATGTGAGCAACAAGTACTCCTTGTTTCTACTCTATATGCATGCAGTAAAAAAATATATATTTTTGTATTTGCCACTTCTACAGAGGCTGTTCAGCTATAGTAAACAGGAAAACAATTAACATTTGGTCAATATATATGGATATATCAATTTAAAAAGCTGCTGCTTTATCCAAGAATATATAAAATTAGAGTTTCAAGTCACGTTTTTGGAAAAGCTGGTTCTGCAAATCCCAAACTACATTCTCGAGTCAAGTCTTGTGTTCTTATGTTCTCGTGAGTCAAGTCTTGTGTTCTTATGTTCTTATGTTCTTGTGTTCTCCGTCTGCCCCGGAGGGAAATGAAAACCCTCCTCTCTCCAGACACTGCAGCCTGACCACAGACTTTGCAGTGAATCGTTTGGAAAATTTCAAACTCTAAAAAAACAGCAGTGAAAACAGAATCAAACAATAAAGATTCACGTTGTAAAAATGAAGTAAAAGACGCTGAAATGCTCCTGGAGGGGCGAAACTGAAGCACAAAGTTGAATAAAAATAAATAAGATTTGTTTGAAATGAGGTTTGGGATCACCTACTGGTTTAGAAAAACACAGATACCCTGTTACTAAAGAGTACACTCAACACGGTCAGATTATCTTATGCAGCTTTGTGTCCCATTGCAGCATTGAACCAACAACCCCCTGACCCACACACACACACACACACACACACACAGACCCACACACACTTGTGTCTGTGCTGTAGAGGCTGTGTTTAAAGGCCTCCAGACATCCTGGCAGAACAGAAAATATGGTTTGGGAAAATGAATGAAGCTCAACTAATCACA